ACACACACACACACACACACACACACACACACGCACATGGAAAACGTGTTCAGTACAGAAATATGAAGCATTTGTTTGTCACTGGTTTGTGTCTGAGGTAGGACAATGTGAGATATTAATGAAACTTATTATTATTAAAACACAAGCAGGAGACACTGTATACTAAACACACAAGAGCAGATTTTATAAACTACTTTATTTAAATTAAACAATCACTGAGCAGCATGAGAAAGAGTCATGTTCATTAAACTCCCTGTACATCTCATGTAGAAACATTAAACCTTCTACATCTGATTAAAAATGAAGAGTATATAATAAACCCCTCTCTTCACTGCATGGAGAGTTTGTGTTTCTTGTGTAACAGGAAGCAGATTGTTGTTAATAAAACACTCACTACTCGAATGAGTGATCAGCCATGGGGTTAGAGTGAGCTCTCTGCCGATAAAACTTCTTCTGAGGCATACACACACTCATCCTGAACCTCCCGGTGTGTGTGCAAGCGTTACTGAGAAAATAAAGCGTTTAAACAGAGAGAGTGTTAAAGAAAAACGAGCTAAACTCAGTTAGCATCCGCGCCGGCACGCGACACCCGAGAGGAGTCGCAGGAGAATGACGTCACACGCCATGCGCGGTGAGAGTCGCCTCTGATTGGCTGAATCATCAGCACTATTCACAAACACAACTTCACAAAAACAACACATCCAATTTTATTAATTTTATAAAATGTAAGTTCTACATAAAGCATTAAATAAAGAAAGAAAAGAAAAAAGAAAGAAACATTTTTCCTCTGATTGTAAAATTTAATCAACTAATTAATTAATTACATTCATATTTCTAGAGTTATTTTATTTATTATAAATATGAGTTTATTCGGCTTTTTTACTATAAGTGAAAGAGTTGATGTTAAAAGGCCGCCTCTGATTGGCTGAATCATCTCATAACAGCAATGTAGAGAAAAATGAAAATAACATGAAAATGAAAATGTGTAAACATTTCTGTTAATAACATAAAGAGGACATTATTATTATTATTATTATTATTATTATTATTATTATTATTATTATTATTATTATGTTACACTCAGTACAGTGTAGAAATTAACATCAGTTCAGTTCACAGAAAATAAAATAAATGAGAACTCATCTGCACTCTCTTATTTTTGGAATGAAAATTCAGATTTAAATAAAACATGTTATAAATATGAACATGAAACTTTTCTGAAGCTAAGAGCTTTTACTGATGTGAGGTTTTTCTCTAGGAATTTAATAAATAAATATCAGACATAAACACAAACTAATAAAATGAGCTATAAGCCACATTTAAGCAGAATATTTACAGATTAATTCATTTACATTTAATTCACGTGTGTGTTTATAAGAGTTTATTTAAAATTATATTTTAAATTGTTTATTATGTTGTTGTTTATTTTATTTTATTTAAAATCACATTCACCACAATCACATCAAGCGCATGTGTGCATTTACTACAGTTTTACCACAAACAGAAGAAAAAAGAATGAAGAAATAAATAAAGTGAATAAGAAGCTGGGGGAAGTTTAAATTCACAACAACAACAACAACAACAACAACAACAATAATAATAATAATAATAATAATAATTAGTTTTTTGACATTAGAGCAGCTGAGTATTTTTATTTTTTTTTTGTTAATTTACAAGCTTATATATCTTTTTGGATAGTTACACATCTTAATACAAAAAAGTGTAAATAAATTACAGATCTTTATAATTTTAATTGCTTTTGTTTTAATGATGGTGAAATGAGTAAATATCTGTTTTAAAAGAAATAAAACTTTGCATCTTGCCTAATAGTTTACACTCACACATACGAAATTTATTTATTAACAATAAATTTATTATATATATATATATATATATATATATATATGATACATGTGTTTATTTTTATTTATTTATTTGTAAGAAACTAAACAACATGTTTCCTTAATAAAATAATAATCAATAATAAATGCTCATGAATATTTTCAGTGATAAATACACAAAAGATTTTGCCAGAAATGTTTTATAAATAAATAAATAAATCCCTGTACATTTAATACTGAAGGTGAAATTATTTTTTTAAATTTAAATAAAATTATTTTTATCTGGAGAGACTTTATGAAGAATCCTGGCAGAAATAATGAAATAAATAATTTATCAGCTGTACAGAGCACCTGTCTGCGTGGGGGCGGGCCCGACGTCTGACGTATGATCGTGGGCGTGGTTTAAACGCACGTGGCCCCGCCCCCGGCTGACGTATGACAGCACAGGAAGCATCTCATTTTCACAATGAGAGTTCAGTTAGCGAGCTGAGAGAAGTTTTAGCAGCGAGTGAGGAGAAGAGAGAGAGGAGAAGAGCTTCATCAGAGAGAGAGAGAGTTTATAAAGTGAAGGAAAAGTAAAAGAAGTGATTAAAAGCGCTTTAGAGAGAGAGAGAGAGAGAGAGAGAGAGACAGAGGGAGGAAGGCCAGATGTGCAGCTTGTGTGCTTCTCACTTCTCGCTAGTTCTGGCGTGAAAAACTCCCAGAGGAAACTCGGTAAGTGGAGAAACAATCAACGTTTCCTCGTGAAATCAAAGCCGCGCCGCTGCTCCGTGTTTAATGAAGCCGTAAAGAGCCGCAGCTTTAATGAAGCTTCCTGTGGAAATGTCCAGATGGCAGACTGGATCTGCAGCGCGTGCGAGTGTGAGAGAGAGTGTGTGTGAGAGAGAGTGTGTGTGTGTGTGTTAGTGAGTGTGTGTGTATGTGTATAGATGTGTGTGTGTGTGTGTGTATGTGTATAGATGTGTGTGTATATGTGTGTGTGTGTGTGTGTATATATGTGTATAGATGT